GTACTTATAATTATAGACTTGTACAGGGTCAAACGGAAGCAACCTTTTGTTAAGAGCGTAGCGGATAAAGCTTGAGTAGGGCCAGCTATCAACAGTATACTCGTCGAAGTAATCTGAGTAAGGAATAAGTTTTTCTTTTGACATATCAGATATGATAATTGCGACGCGTAACAAAGATTCATGTGCCAAATAGAATTTCACCAAGTCCAGTGACAAATATGCGATGATCAAGATCATATGATCAAAATTTCAGCGACGGCCCGTCGTCAAAAATGCCAAGAAAATTCTCGATCAAATATGTGGGTTAGTATACATACAACATAATAAAATTCCCGAAATACATATGTAAAAATAAACAAGATTAAATATACGAAAATAGCCACCAGGACATCTTTATTGAGACAATAAAAATAAATATAAGGGGGAGATAAAAATAAAGTAAGATGTAAAATTATTCTTGATCGAAGATATTGTTGTACTTTAGACTTTATTTCGTTATCTTTCCTAAAGGAAAGCTGGTAACTTTTTTTTTTTAATTTTTTCATATCAACCTGTTTTATGGGACACAAAAATTCCTAGTAATGATAATAGATCGTGCTTGTTATTATTATTGCGGAGCAATGGCTCAAAGAGCCTATACATCTACTTAAATTTTACATCGGCTGGAGACGATCAGCTTCTTAATTGAAGTGGCTAATAAGATGTATATTATATTATTGTATTAATAAATAACGGAAAAAAATAATTATTATTTCATCATTGTAAATAACGCTCTACTTATCCAATTTCAATGGGATATCCCAACCACTTAATATTTCTAATAAATAGAGCGTGATTTTAGATATGCAAGACATTTTTCTGCCTCCTGTAACTCTTTCTTTTTTTCTTCAACCTCACATCGTAATTTTTCATTGGCTTTGATCCGATCCTCATGTTCTATAATAATTTCTCGCATAAATTTTTTTTCCTCTCTAGTTCAGAAAAAGAGAAGTAGTTATTCTATCCATTAACTATATGTCTCTGACATTAGCTTTGCTATTACCTGCTAAATATATATTTCTGGCTTCGAGTAAGTAATTACGAGAAGGCGGGTAATCGCTGACATAAAATATTTAATTCTTTCTTAACACGACGATTGATCTCTGCTTCATGATCACATGTACAAATCGGGACAGTATCTTGGGTTTGGAATTCTTGGTTAGCCATGTCTATATTATACGATAAATTTTCAAGTGGTTCTATAGTTTAATTTGTTTTTTACGCTTCCTATTTAATCCTTTTTCATATACCTCTAATGTATGGTGCAAATAATTCTCCATTCGATCACACTTTTCAGAAATTCGCTCTGAGGTAACGGGAGACCTAGAGTGGTAT